CCAACTCCTTGAGTCAGGTCCGCTGCGGAGAAGAGCAGAGCTCGCTCACTACACACTGCCTGGCAGGGTAGGATGGAGCAGGGCAGCTCCTGTTTAATTTGTAGGGAGGTAAATACTGTATTTGAGTGAAATTTAAGCTAAAGTGTCCTCTGTCCCAAGCCAGGACCTGGCTGAAGCTTTTGAAATGACTTGTGTTATCAGCGAAGGCAGCAGACCACGGATAACGCTACGAGAGCAGCGCCGATGTGGCTGTGATGAGCTGAAGCTAAAGAAGAACAAGGTTTGTGTCATTAATTAAACTCCCCGGTATGCTGGAAAAAGCAGATGTGGGGACGTGGCCCTTCTCCAGGTCACCACTCATCACCTCTGCACTTCTCAGACCTGAACCACCAAAGATTCAGCATTTTTAGGCAGCAATCAGTGGATTTCAAACAGAGTGAAACGCAGACTGTGCCCACCTGTCTTCGGAAATAATTCTGCATATCTAGGGTTTTTGTTTTTGTTTTGTTGCTGTTTTTGTTTGAAAAATTGTGAGAAATTTTCGAGTGATGCTGCTGTCCCAACTGCATCACCAGCAGATGCCCTGAAATAACCAGAACTGTGAACCCCTGGGTCAACATTTAATGTTGCTGGATATTTATTTCACTCTATTAACTTTATATCCTACAGAGGCACTTAATGAGAGGAAAACAAATAGGTTGCACTTTGGAGAAACAAGATATCTGAGTTGGCTGGGAGTGAAGGAGCCAGAACACATATAATAAAGACACGGGGATAAACGATTCTATTTTATTGATTAGCAACTGTGCTAGGAGTGTAAATTGGTTACTTGTAACTATTATCGTGCGTCATTTATTACAGCAGGCACGACGCTTCTGCATGGGTGAAAAGCTGTTGGAGACCCTGGCGTGCTCGTCTGCTGCTCGCTAAAGGACTAAGCAACATGTTAACTAGTTCCTGTGAAAGTAGTAATTACTCCCTAATAGCACTGAACTCTTAATCTACCCTAAAAATGCCCTTCTGAGGCTTTATCTTGATGCAATATTGATGCAAGAGCTTTTGCTGGTGAAGCTGGTTGTGTTGTATAACTAGAGAGCAGCAAGAGCTTGCCTATGCCAGCATCAGGGTGAGCTGGATGTGGTCCAACTGTGCTCTGTGGTCTTCAGGTGCAGGAATACAGGTAATGGTTGAAAGCAGCATGTATCTGACAGTGTGTCCCAGCAGCACTTCTCAGACAAGCAGAAAAAAAAACACCCCAAATTTTTTAGAAAGGAATTGCAAAATGAACAGCTTTTACATGGAGATGTTTACCTCAGCACGCTGGATTTCTGCACGTGTTTGGGACAAGACACATCGGGGACATTGTGCCAGCACAGCAAAACCCTCTTCTACACTGAAACCACAGATCCTTCAATTTTGCTGTTCTTACTGCAATTCCACCGACGGTTGCTTCTTGCTCAGCCTTCTCAACCAGAAATCCTACTTCTTTCCCACACAAATCCCTGATGTAGCTGAGCCAGCACAAACCTGGGAGGATACACACACATCCCTCCTACATCCAGGTGTGTGGGGTTACTGCTCCGAGAACTCCAACAACAGCAAAAAAAAAAGGCTGGCAGACCTGAGGGGAAGGTTGGAACTTGGATAACCTGGAAGGTTGGAACTTGGATAACCTCCTGTAAAAGTTCAGGCTGCTTGGAGGAACCGAGCTACAGACAGGACTGTGCTCTGCAAGCCAGAGCAGTCAACCACGGGCATTGCTTCACTTCAGTAAGGATGTGAGCAGAGCTCAGCTTGTGGGTTAGGCTGGCACAAAGATAATCCTGCTCTGGTCCTTCAACAGATTGAATCTGGGCATGACAAGGATCCTAGAGCAGCAGGTACACACCTGGTAGCAATCCATGAAGAGGATTTTCACTTTGAAATATAATGGGATCAATTCTTCTAGAGAGACCCAGGGAAACGGGGCAGGTCAGACACTGGGGAGAATTTCTTACCAGGCACGTCATCACAGCAGAGCTGGTAGGAAGTGGATTCACCTCTTGTCTTTCTGATGGCACCATTAACATCTGCAGAACATCTGCTCTGCTGTGTGAGGCCAGGGTGAGGTGGTGGCCTCACTGACCCGTGTCCCCATCAGCTGCAGAACCACAGGGAAACGCTCCATCACTCAGGACAGAAACAACCCAAATGGGTGCTCAGCTCCAGACTAACCCAGCTGCTGTCCCACCACCCTCCACCTCGTTAACCAATCCTGCCTCACCAGTTTCCCATCTGCCACTCTCCATCCCAAGTTTTCTCCTCTTAGAGCACATATTTTGAGGGATAGATGTTGTTTTTAGCATTTGAGGTTTACACAGGGGGTTGCAGAGCTGGGATGCTCAGACTTGATGGTGACCAAAATAACAATGATGGGACCTGTTAATTTTAGCAAAGTTATTCCTCCTGTAAAAAAGAGAAGGGGCAGATTGGATGTCTCCAAAGAACACCTACATTTGGAAAAGAAAAGATGAAAATTAAGGACATTTTTTACCATGGAAAGAGGTGCTACATGGCATTAAGGTTTAGACCAATGCTATATGTATTATGTTCACAATCCATCCTCATTCTTGATTTTGTGATATAGTAATGTTTAATTGCCATTAATGTAAACATATTTTAAAAGGTTATTTTCCTGCTCTGCAGGTCAATGGACTTAATGAAGCAGCTCTAAGTGGGTTTGAATTGCTTTGATTAGGTGCTTGATTTCCTGTTTACCTCATGGAAGTGGGTTTGGTCCTTCACAGTTAACATGTATAAAAACCCTGAAGGGTCTCCTCTGAGCACCAGAACTGGCTGAAATCCTCCAGGCAGCTTCAGAGAAGCAGAAAGGTAAGAAGCTTTATGTCAGGCTCTCTTTTTAACCTTTTTTTTTTTTAATTTTACATAATTTTTTACTTCCCCCGCCCCCCCAAGGTAACAGTGGGAGTGAACAGTGTTTGCAAGTGTCAGGCAGTAGCTGCAGCAGAACAGGAACTTTTGGCTGAGGTTTTTTCCCCAAAGTGGTACAAGACCAGCTGTTTTCTCTGTAGCTTTGGCAGAAAAGACCTCAGCAGTGTTATGTGTTGGGTTGATAGGGAAAGGTTGTGATTTCAGAGGAGAATTCAGTATGTGGCAAATGTCAGGCTGTGATCTGCACCTTTGAACATGTGCTACGCAGGGAAACGAGGAGAAATTGGTTCATAGTTGATTTTGGGGACCTCCTAGCTATGGATAAAACAGGGGTAAGGCTTCTTCCAAAGCAGACAGTATTGCACGGGGGAACTGGAAAACCTTGAAAGATCCCATCAGTTGTTCCTCCTTTTGTGAAGGAGTTGAATTGTAGGGTCAAAAAAGTGTAAGTATTACAGCAAAGCATGTGCCAGACAGGGCTAGCAGAGCTCGACTTCTCCAGTTCAGTGTCACATAGGCAAAGGGATCTGGTATTAACTCAAAAATGGGTTTTTTTCAACAGTCTGTGGAAATGTGGACTGCTTTTCCTCCCTGCTTGAGGAGGAGCACTGCCCCTTCTGAAAATTAAGGTTACAATGCATTTCCTCTCCTAGTGTTGTAAATAATCATCCTAAACAGAATGATGTTCTTGCACAACCTGGCTATTTTCAGATCCATCATCATACCCACTGTTATATCACCAAAGCATGACATGAAAAGCAAGTAAGAGGGAAAACTTCAGTTATTTAATCATGACATATTTTTTTTCCTGTTCTCGTTTAAAATATTCCTCAGCTTTTTGAACAATGGAATTTACATCTGCTGTTAACACACTCTGTAACTATTTGTCTTTTATTGCTTTAGCTCTAAGTATTTTAGGGCTTTCGTCAGTGTTCAGAATATCACACCTTTGTTTTTCAGAGCTCGATGCATCTGAGATAATGTAACACATTTAGCATTTTTCTCACTTAATAGGAAGGGCTGAAAACATTTGTAAAAGTTGTCACAATTTTCCAGAAAATTAAAAAAAAAAAAAAGCCTCAATTACAAACCACATCCAAACTTGCCAATTCTTGCTCTCTCCAAAACAATAATTGGTCTGTTGTAAGAGTACAAATAACTACTTAGAGGAGTAAAGTTCTATCGATGTACAAATAAATCTTCAAAGGATGAGATACTTGAGTCCTGATCTAGACCTTTTCTTTTTGTTACTCTCTTATTCCTGTTAACAGCAGCTCTCCGTTGCGATGCAGATTCCAGAAATATCTATAACAAATAGTGAGGTGAGGGACAACAAAATATATCTGTGAGCCATGATCAAAACCATTTTTGTATGGAATTTATAGAGCTGGAATAGTAATTAAAAGAGCTCAAATGTCCAAGGGCTATTGAGCTGAACTGTGGACGTGAGGAGTAGGAACAGTTTGAAACTAATAAATCTTGGAATCTGATCCTGTCACTGTCCATGGGGTATTTTTCATAACTGATATTCCCTGGCTCTGGCCATAAGGAATTATCCCAACAAAAAAAAAAATCTCCCCAGAAATTAGATCAGGCTCCTCAATCCCGCAGAACCGCAGTGTGGGAGAAGCAGGATGCCATTGCTGCTGAATTGCCTGATCCAACTTACTGTTCCCCCTGTTCACATACTGGGGATTGAATCGACCCTTAAAGCACAATGAGGTACCCACAGGGTCAGCTTGTAAACACGGAGGAAGACAAAGCCCTTGCCTCCGGGAATGCGCAACCCACAATGAATTTGATGGTTACAATAAAAGTATAAGGAACCAACATTAAAAGACACCACGGTGGGAAAAAGCATTGGCATTGAAAAAGTAATTTAACCGGGAAGGGCAGAGGAGGGCTTTGTAGGATGGAGACGGCTGCTCCAAGAACAAGGACTGAAGAAACACATTTACAAGCGCAGGCACGTGCCCAACCACTGCCCGTCCCTCTGGGTTCGCTGTCCTGTGTCCCATGTGTTACAGGAGCTGGACATCTGGATTTGAACAGAGAAACCAGCCAAGAAAATGATGTCTTTCAAAGTTCTCTCTCTGCTCCTCACTTCTCTGGGCTTTGTTTTGATGGAAGAAAGCGTCTCGGGGTAAGTGTTTTGGAAAGCTCACAGTGTATTTTGAGCCTTTTCCAGCTCCCCACTGGAGGCAAAGGGACTTTTTCCATTGGCATCTTGGTAAATAGGTGAGAACATGAGTCCTGAGGTAGATCTCGGATAATAGAGACAGCCAAGTGTACAGAGATGAGGAGATGATAAGAGAGATATCAAACTAAAGCCCTGAGCCTTTGAGCCAGAGCTAGGAACTCCCAAGTTTTCCTTACAAATTTCATGGCTCTGGGTTAGGAGGAACAAGCTGGAAGTCAACCAGGAAAAGAAAGAGGTTGGCTGAGAACTAGAAACAAGATGTAATCATCTCACATGAATGAGGCTAGGGGGCATCCAGTATTTGGAAGCTTCTGAAAAATATGACCAGTTACAAAAAGCAGGTATGTAATAAAAACTTTCCCTCTCTTTCTCTGACTCCTGCTACAAAATTTCCAACTACTACCTGAGAAAATCCAAAAGAATCCTTATTAGAGCCGTAGGAGTTGCCAAAATCCCTGATAATAGTACTAAAAAAGGATCAGCCTTGAAATCCTTTGCTAATTTAGGTAGCCACCAATTATGTCTACGCTGTCAGATCAGCACTGGTCTCAAGGTCAGCCCTTGTCTCCTGACATCCACCCCTGAGCCTCTCAAGGACACAGGAAAAGGTTTCCTTGGTCCCAGGCATGTAACTCGCTGGAGGTGGGAGCCTGAGCACACTTGGTGCTTTAACTTGAAGCCAAAGTCCATGTGAAATCAGGCTACGGCAGGGAAAACCACCCTAATTCCAGACTATCGGCAAATGTCCCGAGCTCATCTCCTCTTGGGTTCTCAAATCTGAGCTGCAACTGTGTGAGCAGCCAGTAAAACGGATGAGGAGCATGTTAGCCCCTTCTCTGGTCATCTCCTTGTGTTACAGGGCAGGAATGGTAACCCGGAGCAAGAGATGAAAAGTGATCACAAAACCTTGCTGACTGCAAGGACCACATGTACAACCCAAGGAAAAATCAGCTCCTGATCTGTGCAGGACTCACTCTGTGTCTCTGCTCTTACCCCAGTGTAAGCATAAGGACTCCCAGTGCCAGACCAGTGCAAAGACGTTACTCTGAGGCCACCCTGGCAAGTGATTACAGCCGCACGATGGACAACATGCTGAAGAAGAACTTTGTGGAATGGTTGCTAGCCAGACGGGAGAAGAAAAGCGAGTAAGTGTGTAGACTTCCAATGCTCTTAGGATCCAAACTCACAGCTGTCGTCAGCCAACTGATGGCTCCAGAGGGATGTAGAGCTGAGGATATTTTTCTTGGAGTGCAGCAATGATTCTCTAGGGTGTTGGTTTTCTTTTTTTTATTATTTATTTTATTTTTCTAAGTCCTAGAAATGTTTCTGGTTTGTCGGCACACAGCACAACTATCCCTCACCCTATCCAAGACCACCACCTTCTCTGGCTGCTGGTCGATGGAGTGGGAAGGAGTTGGGTTTTGTGGAAAAGCAGCATTTTGGCACCCTCTTGTGGCATCTCGGCCTGATATCTTCCCATTTCACCTTTCCAGTAACATCATCGAGACATACAAGAGAGAAGCTGAGCCCCAAGTAGCAGCTATGAATGGTCAAAGATTGGATCTGGGCACCCAGGAAGCCAAAGACTTCTTTACCTGGCTTCTGAAAGCCAAGAAAAATCAAAGGTGAGATGGGAGAATGGAAACAGACAATCTGGTGGCAGGGAGGGATGAGGTCCCCAGCTGTTTAACTTCTGAAGGAATGTTTTGGGCAGGAATCGATGGCAACAGCTTCACATAGGAAAAGAACAGGATTTTAATTTCAAAAGGAAATTGCACATTTGGCAATTCCATCTCACGAGTGAGGAAAAAAACAAAGACAGAAAAAAAAAAAAAGCCTTTCTAATGGTGAAATTTCTCACAAAACACAAATTTAAAAAACATAGATGATTGGGGTCTCTTTTTGGTTTTGCAAATGTCAGCCCAACCTCATCAAAACCCGACACTTTGATAAGGTCAAAGCACGGATTTTTGACAGGGCTGAAGCGCATCCGCTCCCCTCACATCACCCAAATGGAGAAGTCAAAATGAAATGCTTTGACCTAATCAAAACAAAACCCTCCCAAAAGAAAACTCTCCAGTGAAAACCGGAGATGAAATTGATACACTTCTGCAAAACATTTTGATTTGATCAAATCAACCCACAGGAGAAAAACAAACAAACAAACAAAGAAAACCCCCAAACGCTCATTCACACTCTCAGCCTGTTGATCAGTTAATTAAAAAAAATAAAGAAAGAAAGAAACAAAAGCAGTTTTTTCGTGATATCACTGCTACAAGCTCTTATTATGAAAAACCTGTCATCTAAACGTGAAACCACGCAGGAGAGATGCCAGCCTGACCCAGGAGGGATTTCCCAGTTTGTTTCTGACCTGTTTGAGCATTCCCAGTAAAGGGCACAGATTTTTTTATAAACATATATATATATATTTTTTTTTTTTTTTAAGATGTGATCATCTTAAAATCATCATGATCACAGTAATAATAACAATAGGAGCTCGCTTGGAACAGGTATCGCAGTTGAAGGTAAGAGGGTCCATCTGGAGCTCTCCGTTGCTGCAGCTCCTGCCTTCATTTCCCAAACCATCTGGCTGAGAGCACACGCGCGTATCTCAGCGCCGCGCAGCTTTGTGCTGTGTCAGCATATCCACAGCCTGTCAATAGCCTGTTTCACCTCCCCCCCCATCTCAGCTTATGTCACAAATGTTCAAAAAGCAAATTAAAACGCGTGACTCCAAAGAAAAAATCTGTTCTCAGGCACTATATTTAATTTATTCTATATTAAAAACAAAAAAAAAAAAAAAAGAGAGGGATACATTTTGTTTCTTTAACATGAAAGGGATTTTTGCAAAACCTAACAGGTTGCTGCTGCTTAGTCCTAAAATGGTGGCAAGAAGGAGAAAAAAAAAACCACTTACCGCACATAACCCGCATCCTTCAGGCACCAACCTAGTGTCTTCTGGCAAAAAAAGAAAAAAAGAGGGGAAAAAAAAGGAATTTCTAACTCCAGGGAGTCATGGGACAGGCACCAGAACAAGAATCTGGGGAGATTTGTTGTCTTTTTAGAGCCTTTGCATGAAAACTGCTTTAGAAACCAGGGTGCCGGAGATGACCCAGGGTGGGGGAAATGAGCAGAGTTATGGTTCACAGAGGTGTCTCAGGCCAAGCACTCAGCAAATCAGACACTGAGAATTGCTAGTCATACAAAAAAACCCCAGAAAATCAAAGAAACGAGGGCTTTGAGGGATCTCCAGAGGTCATTTAGTCTGACCTCTGCTCCACGGCAGGATCAACGCACCCTAAACTGTTCCTGACAGATGTCTGACTAACCTGTTCTGAGGGGGGGGATGGAGAAGGGGGAGGGAAACCTTTGATGCTAGAGATTAATCAGCTTGATTAGCTTTATTAAAAAAAAAATAAATAAATCTAGTGTCTCCCTTAATCTCTTTAATTGCAAATAAAAAAAATGCAACTTGCAGGGGAAAGTCCTTCTTGGAAACAAAGACTTTCCTTTGTGAGTTTGGAGTGTGGATGCTGCTTCACCCACGCTCTGCCTTTGTTTTGATGCCTGCTGGGTCTAAGAGGAGGTGGGGTGCAAAGGGGGTCACTGGACCATTCTTTCTCATCCCCCCCAAGCCTTCCAGACATGTTCACGTGCCAGGATTAAGGCGCTGTTGTGTGTGAGGAGCTCAGCGTGTCAAAGAGACGTTAAAGCTTTTTGTGGGTTTATCTGAGTTAAAGATGCTAGAAGACAAGGGAAATAAAATATCTCTGTGAGCTTGAGGGGACTGGGATACGAGGCTGCTACACCTGAATTGTTGCCTCTCCTCTGTCCTTATGGCATTGCACATTTCTTGCAGTTTTACTTCTCTGGAAGGTTCAGAAGGTTTGAAGGATGTTTTGGACCAGGAGTTTCTGAAATGGCTGATGTCGACTGATCTCTGCAAATCAACGTGAGTGGCTGTTCTACTTATTCCTGTTTGTTACAAGCATCCCTACAGATCCCTTCCCAGCCTTTTCCCCACAGGTACTTGCTGCAGGGCTCAATCAAGGGATTTAGGATTTCTTTAGATAACCACTGAGGGCTTAGATGGCACAACTCACCTGGATTTGGAGAGTTAAGAGCTCTGGCCAGAGTTTGGCTCTGCAAAAGTATCTTCAGATCATTGATACAACAAAGATGGGGGAAGACAAATTTCAAAAAAACCTATTATCTAGTGAAGGGAGGTTAGTAAATCTTTTTCCCCTCTTTTATGAGAAAAGGAGGTATTCACCAGGCCACTTAGAGGAAGTATTTTCTCAGTGCATTGTACACAGCTATGAAAGGCATTCAGAGGGGAACACAACAAAAAATCAGGATGCAAAAGGTGCAGGGATGGCCCTGAGGAGGTTCAAGGGAATGCTGAGCCCATCCTGTGCTTAGCTGAGGGAAATTAGGGGTGAGAGAGACAAAGTCACCACATCTATTACAAACCAGAGTGAGAAAAGAGCTGTTTATGCTAATGGCAGAAGTTGGCACAAGAACAAAAAGGGATGAACTGGCCATGAATAAATGCAGGTTGGAAATAAGAGGCAGCTCTGTGCTACAGACAACTCTGTGCAGCTTGGTCAGAAAATGTGAACAGCCAGAGAAAACAAATAACTCTTGAGCTCACCCTGCAACCTTTCCTGCAGAGAAACACTCATTTCCACCTCTCTCTAACCAGTTGCTGATTTTTCTCTAAACTTGTAGGTATTTACTATTAGAGAGTAACTTTGATACACATCTTGCTATCAAATGGATTTGCAAAGTATCAGAGGGGGCTGGAGGGTAACTGATGCCTCGTTTCCTAGAGGAACTAAATGAAAATGGGTTAAGTGCAGAGGAATTTCTGTTTTTCTCTCCCATTTCTGCTTTGTTAGGACTGTGTAACTCCAGGACCTTCCTGAGGAGCTCCCTCTTCATCCTACCAAGGCATGCGAGGAGGAGGAAGATGTTCACTCTGTTCTGTGCATAGTGTCTATTTTGTTAATGCAAACAATAAAAGAGTTTAGTCTGAAGCTGAAATAAGATTCAGATAAGACTTTATTTGGGGATGGACTATAAAAAATAACTAAATTGATTTATAAAAACAAAAAGTGTCCTTCCAAAGAAGGTTCACAGAACACACCTTGTGTCAGTGAATTGGCAGCTGACTGGACTGTACCAGGGAAAGGTGCTGAAAAACAAAGGTTTTTCCAGAGTTTAGGACCCGATAGTGGGTAATGAGTTAAAAAATGATGTTGGCATCGGCTGGGGGTGGTGAAGTTCAGCTCGGGCTGCAGAGAAACCAACCCTGGCCCTGCCGAAACCCGCCTGGCAGCCAGCCTGGCCCTCCAGGGGAGTCCTGAGGACTCGCCCTCCCTCCTGACCTCCCCAAAATTGGGGGGGGAACGACACCCCCTCCCCACAGAGGGGACCTGACCCCTCAAACACAGACTTACCTTCATCTGGGGGTCACCCTTATGCCCCTCACCCTGGGGGGTCTCAAACCTCCCTCCAATGGGGGGTTACCCCCCACTCCAGGGGACCCCCTACCACAGAGGGGACCCCCCCCAAACAGGGACTTACCTCCATCGGGGGGTCACCTTACTCAAAGCGGGGTTCCCCCCACTTTGAGGGGACTGAAAACCCCCTCCAAAGG